AGTGTCCTGGGAGCTTCAATTCCTTCAGTCACAGCAGGAACAGCTAGGACCAAACTGCTAGTGTCTTCTCCCAAGTCTGCCCGGATGTTAAAGCAGTGCAGAAAGCAAGACTGACCTAGAGCCCACAAGGAACTCAGGTCTTGGAGGCTTGGACTGAGTTCAAGACAATCCAAACTTCCAAGATAATCAGAAGTTTCTGCGCTTAGTAGCAGGTGTTGGGAGAAAAAGCCCTCCCTTCCATCAGCAGTATATTGGTGGCACGTGTTTGCAGGAAACAGTCACAACTTCAGCATAGAGTTGGCCATCCTGAAGCTGCCCTACCCCTTTGACCAGATCTTTGCAAGCCCTTACCCTTCCCTCTCCTTGAAAAGAGCCATCAGAGTTGAGTCATGGTGTCATCCTCCTTCATTCAGGCCTTGGCCTTCCACCTCAAGAGGAGGAACCTCTCATCCTGGCCAGAGCAGAAGAGCAGACTATCTATTTTCTAGAAATCAGGATCCGGCCAAAGGAAATCAAACTCCAGCTGTAGGCAGATATTACTGCAGAGCGTCTAGAGACTTCTGAAGAGCAACAAGCGATTCTCGAGTCCAAGATGAGATTTCCTGGCAAGCAAGGCCCGAGACTTGCTCTTGCTCCAGTCGCATGCCCAAAGAGCAAAAATCCTGTTCAGGTCACTGGATGGCCTTTTCAGGGTGGTGGGACACAGCCTTTCTCCCTTCAAAAGATGAGTGTCATCACCGGCCTGCCCTCCTTCCCACAGCTGAAGCCAAGGGCTTGTGCCGTTCCTTCTGTGTCAAATAAAATCTAATGTTTGTTGCATCAGATACAGATCATAGTGCTGCAGAGAGCTCTGCTCAAGGACTTAAGCATTAACTACTTTGAATTATAAGTTCTGCCTCTGTCTGAAGCAGACACTCTCCAGCACCCTGCTGGAAGCAGTCCACAGAAAGCCCAGAGAGCCTCCTGCTGCACCAAGAGGGAAGATGCCTGCTTTAAGCTTAGCAAACTAAGCTCTTAAACGGAGTTTGTCAGCCAACAGATAAACACCCTAAGTGTGTTTATCACTCTTTGATAGGGAATAGTTCATGTGTTTATGCACAGGATAGGAAGTGGAAAGGCTACCCTACTGCTTACTGGCTATACGAGAGAGCTATCAGACAAATAGAGATGGTCCTACTTCAGACAGGAACAGGATTTCAAGCTACACACCATGAGTTTTCTTGCCTAGATGCCACCTCCTGCAATGCCATTGCCAAGGGTGGCTGTTCATCTTAAAGCTTCAGGCCCCAGAGTCAAGACTTTTGCATTTGTTGCCATTTTTAAGCATGCTTAAGCCCCCAGAGGGAAGCCAGAAAACACTCCCTAACAACTCAAAAAGCTCAGAAAAAGCTTTTTCCAAAAGCCAGAGCTGCATGATCAAAAGCCAGGAGAGGCTGCCTTTACTCTACTGTGGATACTCTCAACATAAGGAGAGTAAGACATCTCCTTTGACAAGCTGTCAAGAGCTTTAAAAGGGCTTTTTGCTCCTTTACATAACCTGTTGGGGAAAGCTTGAGCAAGCGGATTGGCTTTGCAAGAGTCAAAAGCCAGTCCTCTGCTCAGACACGGAGTTTAAGGCACAGGGACCATCTCAACCTTAGTTAGTATAATTTTTGTGGAACCAAAGAATTGGGCCCAGCCTTAAAGGCATCTTAATCAGGCATTTCCTGGGGCCTTCTAACACTGTGTATTGAAGATCAGCCTCAATTGCAGAGTGAGAAATGAAGCCTGGATTTCTAATCCTGTAAGTGGGTGGAAGAGGGTACAGTTTCAGATGAGACCAATTCAGTACAGGGGCAAAAAAAAAAAAAAATGCAAGCTTATTTTTCTCAATAGCTTTATGCTGCCGCAGGCAATGAGGTTGTTTCCACAAAGATTCAGATGGGTCTTTCTTCTAAGGCAGCAGATCCCCAATTTTTCCTGGGTTGACCAGGGTCTCTCACTGTGCTCCCCTCCAGCTTTGGCATTTTCCAGGCCATCTGAAAATCATTTTCTGGGTACACAGAGCAGCAGAAGATTGCCAATAGAAGCGGGCAGGGAGGGGAAGAAAATTTCACCAACTAAGTGGGAGCCATTTCCCTAAACAGCTTCCCAGCCCCTTGGAAGGAAGTACGTTGGCAGCCAGTCCAGTCTTCCTTGACACCATGTTTACTTGCTCATTGCCTTTTTAGAAAAGTTTAAAGATCAAGGGGATTATAGAGGGGTGTGAGGAGATGAGTAATAAGGAAACAACCTTCAGAAGCCTGCTGCGGTTTTTGAGGAAGCTATTTAATTCTTTAAGCCAATTATTACATTTTCCAAAAGGCTCAGCAACCTCTGTATCTGACAGGTTTATGCCAAAGGATAGCATTGGTGAAGGGGGAGAAGCAGAAGCTCATTTTGCCCCACCAGCTTCTCTGCACTACATGTCAAAGACAATGTCATTGGAAAGCCTATAATGCTGTCACGCATCCTAGCAAGCTCCATATTATAGTTGTCCAGGGCTTTCCTGATATGAACTCCCTTTACCCTAGCTCAAGGTCCAAGCTATCCTCTTGCTGAGGAGTGATTTTGGGACTCCATCATGTGCTCTTTTTACTTCCTCACTCCGTGTGTCACCATCTTCCCTTTTGGCTCTGCCAGTGAAACCACCAGCAGCCTCAGACTGGATGGGTTTCACCTGCCAGGTTTGTGTGGTTACGTCTAATGTCATGCTGACAATGCAGAAAAACACCTACCCCAACCCTGCAGAAAGCAGCTGTGCATTTACCATTTCTCCCAGCACCTGCAACACTACCAGACATATCTTCCACTTAATGTCACCTGGGGCAGGCTGCAGGTGCCAGAGCTACAGGGAGGTGCGCTCCGTGGTAGGGAGAAGTGGGAATCACACAGCCCTTCTAGCCATGCTCTCAGCTATCATAGGCCCATGACATTTTCCAGAAGATCACAGTCCTGATCAAGAGATATCTTCCTTGGAGCATGGCACCCAAGGAGCCATTCATGAGCTGAGATTAAGCATCCTGCTGGGTGTCCTGGTAGCAGGCTTGGGACTTTAAGACAACAACGCAGCTACAGCTGGTAATTAGCTAAGAGCAGGTATGAGGATACCAGAGTATGCCAGCCCCCAAACTTTGGGGGCCTGGCAGATCTGAACCGTACTCCTGTGCAGCTGAAGGCCAGAGCGGGTGAAGCACCTCTCAGGGTGGGCTGAAGACCGCCAGGAAGGGTCACCCTGGGAAGTCTTCATTTCCCACCCACCTTCCCTCTGAGAAATGTGGGCTTAAGTCCTTTGGTCTTAATTTGTGGCTTCAGCTAATTGCTAGCTCAAGTTACTTGGTGGGGCTTGCCCAGTGCAAAGAGGAAACTCTCACTTGAAGGCCACGGACAGAAAGCCATTTCCCCTCGCATCGGGGACCAGTTAACCCGGTGAAGCATTGTAACCTGGAGCACTGCTACCTCCACACCCTACTGGCAACTCCAGCCTCTGCGGTCACCCAGGCAAGTAGGAGGAAAGCACATTTTCACTTAAGCTTGAGGAAAAGTTTTAGGTGAAACTAAGATTCCTCTCAACAGACTTTGAGCTGCACGTAGCATGTGTGGTGGCGTAAACCAGCCCTCGGACACAACTTGCTGTCTGCTTTCTCTCATTTAAGAGAAGTGAAACACGTGTAGGAGTGTTAATTTTAAACAAAAATGCATCTTGCTGTGCTCTCATGCCACTTCAGATCATCTTGACCAACTGAGGCAATCGCAGTCAGGTTCTCCGCACCCCTACGTGGATGTCTCCAGGCAAAATGCCTTCCATACGTGGAGGGAGCATTTCTCTCCAGACACAGCCAGATTTTAATGCATGCCAGAGCAGCGGGGCAGGCTCTGTTGGGTGATTCTCCACAAGCTCTGCTCTCTCAGACCATCCTGTGATGGAGAAACACACCCCACAGCAAACAAATTGAGCCCAATCCACCCATCCCTCCTTGCTGCTCCAGCAGAGATCTCAGCGTCACTACCTCCAGTGAGCGTCTCTGGGTGTGCAGTTTTACTGGCTAGAGCTCCCAAGAAAAATTATGTGGTTTGCCAGCAAAAAGCCCAAGTGCCTCGCAGGGCTGGGGTGCCAAGGGACAGCATCTCCCCACGGAGATGCGTGCTAGTGCTGGCAGGGGCGAGGAGCAGGTAACCATTGCAGGGCACGGTGCAGCAGCACCCCTGTGATGGGAGAGGAGGGATATCTGAGCCTGAGTGCCAGAGAGCTCTACAGCGCAAACCACTGCATTGAGGCATAACTCACATTTGGGAGGTTTTTGTTTGCTTGTTTGCTTTCTTTAGCCTATGCAGGCTGCTGACTAACAACTGGTATTGCGCTCAACAGCTGTAAAACTTGCTGTGGAGAAATTCATGAGTAGCTCTAGGTGACACTGCAGGATTGACTTCATTGCAGGGACAGGCAGTAGCTGCTGCCTTGTGTTGTGTCCCCAGCTGCCCTTGGAGGCCGGAGCTGCTCCAGCATCAGGTACATCTCCGTCCAATGGCAATTTTGAGACCAAATTCCCTAAAGGCCAGCTGAGACCTCTGGAGCTGGCTCAGCGGCGCACTCCGCCACAGCTTAGAGGACATCTCATGTCTTAGCTCAGACCATCAGGAGACTCAGCCTTGGGCTCACACACAAAATTCCCTGCTAGCTTTCTCCACTGCAAGGAGGGCTGATGCCCTGGTGCATCTTGAGCACGAGCCCAACGCTTCTGGTGGCTTGAGCCCTCCTGTTTGGTGTTTATCTCTGCACATAGGCTGTACACAAGGATGTTTCCTTTCTCCTGCCCAGCAGCCACCCACATACCCCACTGCAGCTTTGGAGGGGACTTTATGGGGCAACCTGCGCAGCACCTTTTTTAAAGCTCTATCATTTATTGGTGGCCACTGCCACTGAAGTCCTGACAGAGACATCATTATGACACTGAATGTGTGAGTTTTGTGGTAATTCTATGATAATTATCAAATGCTTCCCTTCCATTTTCCTAGTGAGACACTGGCGTTATTACCATTACCCAGTCTCCGTGGCTCTTTGGGAGCGCCCTCAAGGACTGTCTTTGCATTTGACTGAACAAGATGTTCTTGTTCGAGGAAGCTCAACAGTATTTTTCATAGTTTTCCACCCATCCTTGTAAACCATACCAGTCAAGTGAGGAGGGCAGCTTCACTTCCAACCGTTTTGAGTAGGGTGTATTTTTCTGGCTGATACTATATGCAACGAGAATGCGCTCTTCATTTCGCGTTGGCTTATTGCAAGGTGAGCCCAACTCTTCACATCAAAGAGATGCTGCTTGCTGGTGTAACAGCATGAGGAGATGCATAAATGTAGTATCCCAAAGCAGACTGTGTGATGTTTCTCAGAGAAAGCCAATCCACCTGACACCCCAGCAGCGTCCCTGCTGTTGGATGCCTCTCACAGCTAGTCAGGAGCTGGCCCATGGTCCCTGAGACAGCAGGAAAATCCAAATAGCAGGTTCTTGCATAGAGGTGGAAATGCCCACAGCATCACCAGGGTGTGGGGGCTTGTCCTGGGCCCCTCCAGCGTGATCAGACAAAAACGTCCCATACCACACTTGTGCCCGTTTGGCTGGTCATGGAGGATGTGTGTGACCCTCAGCTTGTTTGGCTTTTGCTGGTCGGTGGCATTTCAGGTATAAACTACAGGGTTTGCTGCACTCACCCATGAGCACCCAGTTAGTTCATGCATGAGTGCCCAATTCATTTATGCCTGAGCACCCACTTAGCTCATGCATGACCTTAACTGGGTGCTTAATGCATAAGCACCCAATTAATTTATGCATGAGCGTTCAACTAGTTTACATATAAGCACCCAAACAATTCACGTGTGAGCATCCTATTGATTTACGCAAGGGCACCCAGGCAGTGCATGCATGGTCAACCACATAGCTCACGCATGAGTGCCAAACTAGTTTGGGCGTGAGAGCCCTATTTTTCATGCATGGGCACCTAATTAGTGCATGCATAGGTGCTCAGTTAGTGCATGCATGAGCGCCTGATTAGTTTACGCACATGCACCCATTTAATTCACGCGTGAACACCTCATTATTTTGCATCTGAGTACCCAATTAGCGAATGCATGAGCTCAGGCCAGAGGAAACCCAGTAAGAAACCTGGAAAAGCGGTCGACAGAAACCATTATGCGCACAAGCTGTTACCAGCCCTAGCCCTCGCAAACCCCAACACAGCACAAGAACTACCTGATCCCACAGCCCTGAGAGCTTTAGCTTTCCGCAGAGACTTTGTGCTGCCAGGAGACACCAGCAACGTCCTGTCACACCGGTCTCTTCTAGCGCTCCCAGCATACGGGATGAAAACTATTAGGGCATGTTGGAAATAGACCTAGGCTTTGCTGCTGCTCTTGTTATCAGTCATGCAATGGATGCTTCCTTATGATTTCTGCTCTTTTCAAATGGTTTAATTAAAATGTTTTCAAGTTTTTTTTTTCTCACAGCAGTTTGTTTTAAACTTACAGATTTTAATTAGTTCTGGGTAATTTAAAATTGAACTTCTAAAGAAGTGCCCGAGGCCAGCAGATGCCTGGGGTTTGCATGCGGTGAAAGCAGCTGGCCTCACTGCTAGGGGACTTCAAAGCAGGCGCAATGCCATGGGACCTGCTATGAATGAGCAGCTTCTGAAGAGCAACACTCGCGCTTCACACCCGGTGAGTCGTTATTAGAGCCCAGAGTGGTGGCACAGACGTGCTGGTTGTCTGGGCTATGCTTTAGTGTGACGTACCTTTTGGCGCGGAGTCTCTTGCAGTCCTATCACTGTGCCCTGTGGTAGCTGGGTAGCTGTCACCCGTAAAAGGGAGTCCCAGAGATGGCCACGGCTGCTGGTGTGAACCAATCCCGCTCGGGCGCATGCTTGAGCCATCGGCACCACATCCGGCTGGGGTCTTTCTTTAACCACTGGCTTTTATTTTGATCCTAACTGGTTGTTTCTGCTCCTCTCTAAGCTGCAGAGGTCTTTTATTAGCAAATGATTGCTTGGGATCTACCTGTCCTCCAAGCAGCCATGTCACTAAGGCTGAGGTTGCAGCACGAGCCCCACTGCCGTTGGGGGGTTTTGAGGGAGGCCCTAATTGCTTTCCTTTCCTGTCTTTTCTCTATTCCTGCAGAACCCATGACAAAATATGCGTTGTGTTCATGGAAAGCAAGAGCTGTAGTTTCCAGCTCGTGGCAAGGCACAGAAAGGGAGCTACGCTCACCGACGAAACGCTCCCAGCTCTCAGAGTTAGAGCAGAGCAACACCAACGCTGGAGAGAAACAAGACTTTCTGCTCTTGATTTCACACCCACGTGCATATACCCACTCACATACACACACGCACAAGCTTTTTTCTGTCTCTGGTGGAAATAATTTGTATCATGGGTCACTTAAGCTAAATACTTTCCAGTATTGCTCAGCCTTTTAAGCTCGAGCTTTTATTAGAATAACATTAAGAAGACAAACCGAGTTACTAGATAACGTCACCATCGCTTCTAGTGATCCCTAGTCCCAGTCAGTCCTATCCAGAGCAAGCCATACTCTTACTCAGTTGCTCCAATACTACATTTTATCTGATACCTGGGCAAGGGTCTTCAACATTCCTTCTTCCCAAAGAGGAGGGAAAAACACTGCTTTCTCGTGTGGCTATTCAAGGTTTTGAGTCAAAGTTTCCAACAGGGAAGCCCATTACTTGGTCCTAAAGTTCATGTATGCTCTTGCTGGAATTCCAGCTCTGCTGGGAATAGGGTCAAGATCTTGGGTTATTTCAGCATTTTTTCCCATATGTTCAGCCCATGCATGAGTCATGCCTGAGCCTGTAACTCTTTGCTGAGATGCCTTTGACAGAGCTCATTGAGCTAATCTCCTGACACAAGGCTGTCCCAGCTCTGGGCTGATAAAATAAATATTTAACTTCAAAACATCTAACAGTTTTCAAAGGGAATAGCCCAGTGGTGGCCTAAGCATGTTTAGATTCTGTGCATAGCAAAGGGTGCAGAGCCCTTTAATCATCGCCATATGTATTTTGTGCTTTTATCTGAAGATCTTCACAGTCCTTCGTGAAGATGCTATTCCTGTTCCTCTCTGTTTTACAGATAAGGACATGGCGGCACAGAGGGGAACAAAAGGATTTGCTCCAAGCCCAGAGAACGAGTATTGGAGGCACAACGGCTAGGCTATTTTGCATCCCAGCTACAAGGCTGATGCTGCTCTGGTGCAATGCCTTAGGAAAGGGCAAGGCATTAGAGGGACTCGTTTGCGTTATCTGCTGGCGCTGGTGGCCCAGCATCACTGGTAGGGAACGAAATGGTGCCACTTGCCCAACTGAGCACCCTTATCTCAGCATCTCACCTCCAGGCTGCCCCAGTCCCATGAAACAACGTTGCCCTTGCACCCACTTGCTACTCCCACAGCCTCTGGCTGTGGCGCTACAGTGGGATTGCGATAGTCTTGTGCTGAATTTCAGATTAAAGGTAAATCTGCTTTATGCTTTGGTGCTTTGCATCATATTGTAACGTTTCTTCTCTTCAGCAGTCTCAATTCTTTTTCTTTTTTCGCACCGGTAGTGTAATATAATATAATTAGCACCGAGGGTAGCATCAAGCCAAGAACAAATTAGGTCATAACACAACGTCTCCTTTGCCTGGGTGCTCTGTTTTTGGAAACGTGTCAGGAGAGCCTCCTGACTGTGCTCTCCCTGCCCTCAGTGCCCAAACTATATGGCAAAGAGCATCAGGAGAGGGAGCAACGGGCCCCGGGGCTGCAGGCAGGACTGGGCTCCAGGGAGCACTTGTCTGGTGCATGCTTCTACTGACACATGTTGTCTAAGAGAAACCTGCCTGTAGCCCAGGATCTCCTTTGCTCTTGGGGTAGCCAAGGAGGAGACAGCTGAGTCTTCCTACCCCAGACGCTTCTGCCCATTGCAATGTAGACGTAGAAAACACCTGGCAGGAGGTAGGGGGAAATGTGAGAGCCCTCACGCAGGACAAGGCCTCACCACAGTTCAACATCTGTCTCCTCAGGGGGATTTGGTTTGCTTGGTCTCTGGGAGGATTTTACCCCAGACAGCCCTTCCGAAAAGTCACGTGTTGCTTGTCCGCATTGGCAGCAAGACCCTAGGTATCTAGGCTAAGCAGTTGAAGCCCCAATCCAAGAAATGAGGCACGTTTTCCTCTGAAAGCCACAGAGGCTTTAATGAGAGCCCAACCCTGGACCTTGTAACATGATTTTTAAAATTCCCTTGCAATTAATGTGTTTGCTCTCTCAAGTCAAATGCATGTTTGCCTTGACCCACAATTTGTTCCATTCAACATTTTTCCAAGTGAGATTTGCCCAGGAATTTTTACTAAAAACAACGGTCTTGCAGCTTCACTAACGTCCAGACCTATGTCAAGCCCATCTTTTAGAGCCTTCAGGAGTAAATACTAACAAACTGGTGGGGAACCACCCTGCTTTCTTTCCATGGAGACCGCCAGACTCAGCGGTAGCATGACACTATCTGACCTGGACACGTTTCTGGCCTCTCAGCAGCTTGCCTGGCATTCACCCTCCAGCCCCCCCAGAGCACTCTTCCTTGGTTTCACAGCTGAACAGACACCAAAAGGGTCACTGAAATGTTTCCACTTCCACAAGAAATTTGCATGGGGCCACAATCTCAGCAGGGACCTTCTCCCCTTGAGCAACGGGCTGTCCTGCCTATCCAGTGCTGTGGGACATTTCTCAGGTAACCTCCCCTGAGCACTGCGTTGCAGAGGAAAACACCAAACACTGCTTTAAAGCTGAATTTCAGTACTGGGGCAACAGCCACCCACTGGCCAATGTGGTCCCAGGAACAATTTCATGTCTAACTTTTCCAACACCACCCCTCTTTCAGCCCCACAGTGAGGAGAGGGAGCCTTGGCAACTCATTACAACCAGTCTCAGCGAGCGGAGCTGCGATGGCACATCCCTGACCACTGCAGGACTCCACATGTGTTGTGGTAGTCACTGTCCCCAGAAACTGTGGCACTGAGCATCCTGGGCTGGGACATGAGACATAGGGGTGTTTGCCAGGGCGCTGAATTGCACTTTCAGAAATGGAGCAGACATTTCAGGCTTTGTGTTCTAAAAGCCCACAGCTTTCCAAGAAACTTTAAAGCCTTTAAAATTCACCCAAATCCTATAATCACTCATGGAAACAAAGGCTGGAGAGATTATTTTTGCGAAAAAGTTGGCAGGTTTTTGGCTTCATAAAGCAGAGCGTTGTTGAGAGAAGGATCTGTTGTGGGGGAAAACAACATCACTGGTATTTTTGAAAACTCAAAATAAATAGAAACAAGACATTCCAGAGAGAAGGCTTTTAAAAATAGTGCATTGTGAACTAGAAGGGGGAGTTCACACTCTACTTTTTCATTCTCATTTTCCCCCTAGTGAAAGGGGGCAAAGGCAGAGTGCCAATAGTTTTAGGCTCCCGTCACAAACACAAGGGAACGCACTTCTCCCAAAACCAGCTGGAGCTCTGTGCTGGGACAGCCCTGCTAGTGGGCCACAGCTGTGTGAACCTCTGCTGCAGGCAGCCATCCGGCCCCGACTGAGGTCTGGGCTGTGCTGGAGGCTCCTTTCTGCCAGGCTGCCCCTTCCCAGGCCTGTCGCAGCTCTGGGGAAACATTGCTCGATGGGAATCTGGCAGCCAGCAGCTTTATTTGCGTGTGGCCAGGGTCAGCGCTGGCTCAGTCTAATTGTGTTGGGGGAGTTGCCAGGGGCTTTCTCCTGGTGAGGTCTGCAAAAGACTGACTCAATGCTGCTGCAGCACCTCATCAGCACTCAAAAAGAGGCCTTTGAAAATCTCCTTGCAGCTCATTGAGGAGTGGAGTGGAGAGCAGCATCTATCTAGTAAAGCCCTTATGCATCTCTTCTTCGCATTTGCCAAGTCTCTCCCTAGCCCACACTAACTCTTCACCTTCCCCCGTCCTCAGTTTGCTGCCCCTTGGGTCAAGATCCACCTTGGCTCAGCTAGTCCCCCCAGGGAGGTTTCTCCTTTCCCTCGAAGCCTCCTGGCCTGCTCAGTCATCCCTCATGCAGGTGCTTTTCCAAGCCTCCAGTCATTGCTATTGCCTTATCCAAACCCTCTATCCCCTTCTGGCAGGGCAGGGACCAGCACCATAAAGCTGGTTGGCTCTGTTTAGAGGCATAAGGATGATCTCCATGTACTCCTTGCCTAACCCTTCAGCCTTTCAAGGCCTTTCCCCTCACTCTCCTAGAGGACTGTCCATCAGACTAGCTTATCCTCCCTCGGTTTCTAATGACTTTGTTAACCAGCCCAGGTCCCATGAAACACACCAGCAGTGTCCCTTTTGGGAGAGACCTGACCTGCACCTTTGCCCCTCTATTTCCTAGCTACCTGGAGAAGGATGTTCCCTTTTAGGCCATAGCTGCCAAGTTTCCTCAGAAGCCAGGAGAAATAAAACAGCTCACCCTTATCTAGGGGCTTTGAGTCCTTCAAAGGAGATGAAGAGGTGTGTGAAGCATAGCTTCATCCTGGAGACTCTCCCCAGCTAATTTGTATATTAATTGTATCCTGCAGTATAGTTTCCTGGTAGTTTGTCCAGCACAGACATCAGGTTTGCATATCTTTCCCAGAGCCCTGGAGGCTTCCTGCCCAGTCCTGTGGAAGGACAGCACAGTTGCCCATGCATTAACTGCAGTACAGCCTCTTGCCATCTAGCTCCCTTACCTGCACCCCTTAATCCACAGGCTGGAAACCCCTGTTAAAGATGACAGCTTACAGAGATGCTACTCTGAACTTCGCCATCTCCAAACACTTTCCATGCACCAGTAGAAGCCTGTGAAGCCCCATTAATCCTTCCACTAGAGAGAGGAAATAGAGGATGTGGTTTGACAATTCAGTCAATCCACTCTTAGGCTTCCTAATAAAGCCAGAAGTGGTGCAGCTACATGAAAAAGCACTGATCTAGGATGAACTCACTCTACCAGTTCAAGAAAAATTTGAACAGGCTCCCTTTGAAGCAGCAGGCTTTCCCTAGATCAGGTATCATCTTGTCTGTACATCTAGCCTTCTGTGAGAAGGGCTACAAACCACCCTCCAGCAGGAGGCATCCAGCCAGCACAAATTCTGCATTGCTCGCACTGCATAGCTCCAGAGAAAAGCAAACCACTGCTCTCACCTGACCTAGATCTCATTTGTCTCATAGGCAGATCAAGAATTGCACAGATTCACTATTGCCCATTGTGGGGCCACAAACAGAACCCCTGACAATAAAAAAATTTCATTGAGAAGAGTCAGGGGAAAAAAATAAGGCAGAAACCCAGAGGCTGTACTGTCTCATGCTGAAAAGTGAATGCATCTTCCATTTCTAGAGTCAGTGGAACCACCACATGCTGAAATCAGTTAAAGACTGTTGCAGCTGTGTCAAAGGATTCAGTCACCGCCCCACCAGCATCCCCTTGGATGTGGAACCTCAGGGCTGACACCACAAAAGTGGGTCTCTAGAGCTGCAGCATCTTTTCTTTATCATGACAGATGGAAGCAGGAAGGGGAGCAATGGCTTCCTGCAGGGAATCTGCTCATGCCAGTGGGACTTGCAGATACTCATCACTGAAGAGGCCAGTGGCCAAGATCAGTAAGGAGTGACAGATCTCCCACTGCTCACCTCAACTCCTGCAGACAGTTCAGTTTGAGCTGCACTCTAACTTCTGAAGAAATGAGGTCTCAAGGAAAGACTGAACAACCATCTGTGCAAACCTGCCAAGTGTCTGTTAGCAGCCCTCATCACACTGGAAGGAGCAGAAAGCTGCAATTCAGTCAAACACAGGCACAGGACTGTTCATCTGAAGGACCTTTCCTGCCACTACTCCATTCAGTCAGAACAAGCCAGGGAAGGTGCAGATTCAGGGTGGGGACTGATCAGAGAGGGGAGAACACAGGAGCAGAATGGGTTTGCAGACAAACCATCCTACTCTGGAATACAAAAAAATAGTTTAAAAAATACAAAGCAATTAGAACCAGAAGAGGACCAGCGTATGCAGGACACCCAGTTATTATTTCTCCAAAACACCTGCCACACACAGTGACATATCACTGCATCAGAAGTCTCAGGCCACTGTGCCTGATGGATCTGGGGTTGCTGGTGGGTCTAGTAGTTGCTTACGGCGTCTCCATATGACGAGTCCCAGCCGAACAGCAAAGATAACGCTAGTCATTGCCAGTAGCACAACTAGAAAAGAAACACAGGAGTATGTCAGTGCATCAGAGAAAGTCAGTGCCTCTTGCTATTTCCTGTTCCCAACATTTAGGAAACGTATGGAGCTCCCTACAGGAGCCATTATCGCCTGTCAGGAATATACTTTGGGGAGTTGCTGTGGGGCAAAGTGAGAGTTCAGAGTTCTATCGCTATCTAGTAAAACTCACCCTATGCTTCCAGGTCAAGAGACATCTAGAGGGGGAGGCTTTATGGACACAGAAATGAAGATGCATTACATTAACAAAACAATCCAAGAATAGTTGAAGCTATATAAAGAAACATGTACTAGTTTGGGAGAAAGCACATTCTTGCCCTACCAGCCAAACAAGCTGAACCAGTAAGAAAGAAGATCTGCTGGGAGAAATGCTGACAAAGCACTGACTGCAGCAACGTAATTTGTCACTGATCATGCACACCTTCACGCGCCTCATGGCCACAACTGTTCAGACAGGAGTCCTTAGCGGCCTCATGGCTTTGGCAGACAAGCTCCAGTAAATCCTGCTGAGTGCTTTTAGGCATTACTCGCTTTTAGATTCAGGCCAGCCTGGGCTCTGAGGAGGAAGGGAGCATGCGCAGAGTTCTGCTCTATGGAAGTTTAATTTCTGATCCAAGAGGGTTGTATTCATGTGCAGCTCCAGTATCCAAAATGAGGATCCCAGCCCTGCTCTCCCTTGGGACTGCCCTATGTCAAAGGGAAGGGAGCTACAAACAGCTGATCCAAACACTCACAGGGCAGGCAAGCTTCTATGAGACAGGACAGATGGGAAATTGCGGGGCAAATACATTACCAGAACGTGAACTGGGGTGAGCACATGGTTTGGATTCAACCCCAAGGATAGTAGGCTCCTGAGCCCTGATTTCAACTGCAAAGGAAAGTGCCTCACTCCTTAGTTGGCAAAATTAATAGCTTCTAATAAACCCCAAGTTCAGCCTTTCCTGAAAAGGACATTTTCTAAAAGGGAACTGTTTATAACACACAGGAAAGATGTAGAAGTGTTATTGGCTTTCTTTTGTAAGGGTTGGAAATGGACCAAGAGTTTCACCTATAAAAATGCCATTGGTTGTTGGGGATGAAAGCGAGAAGTTCTTGCATGCACTGCCAGTCAGAGCTGTTATGATCACTGGGTAGACTGTGAGGTTGTAATGGACGTACTTGTCAAGGAACAAGTTTTCTAGATAAAACCTGAAAAGAAAAGTGACCAAACTAAACATTTTCTCTGTACAATTTTTCCACAGAAAATTTAAGAAGAGTTGGAACAAGAATGGTTGTCTTGCAAGCCAGCTTGGACCAGAGTCCAAAATTGTTTATTTACTAAAATAATTTTATCAAGATGTTTTTATCTATCGGAAGTTTGTTTTGGGG